GTACGGGCCTCCGGTGCTTCACCTGGAGCCTACGAACCACAGTGTGATGAGAACGGACAGTACCTACAACGGCAGGTCAGCATCTGTTCAGAGACCTTTTCCACTTTAATATCTAATAGTCTTACTGAGCTTTTCGTTTTTTGTTCATCCAGTGCCATGGATCTACTGGTCACTGTTGGTGTGTGGACAGCAGTGGGCAAGAAAGACCAGGAACCAGAAGCACACCTGGAACACCACGTAGAGACTGTGACAAACCAGGTGAGGCTGTTGGACTGCTACAGATATTATAGTAAGGAAGAATGTGAGTATCCCGGAGCTGAACATCATTAGTGCATCGTTCTGGATGGGCTGATGAGTGGTTGGTCATGAAGCCAAGCCAAGACACTTAGAACAGTGTTTATATAGTGTAACAAACCCATAAACAAGCCACTTAGCAGGGGGACAGCTGTAGAGAGCTTTAAAAAAAGGAACGGATATTGGTTGGTGTGTATAGGGTTTATCCAGACTAAACAGCTGTTGAGGATTTCTAGTGATTTTTTGAAAACATGAATTGCACAAAGCCGTTCGCGCAATCACAGGCCGAATGTTTCGCAGATGAACCCGTGGCGGCGAAAACTCTCTGTGAACACCACAGAGAAAGAGCACAGGCCACCAGTTCAGAGGGATATCCTGGAGCCGGAGCGTACGTGCCCCAATGTGACGCCGATGGACAGTACATACCACAACAGGTTTGCATTGATTTTCTCAGGGCCCCTCAGCACTGTCATGTCTCAGAACCTTCTGTAACCTGGCAAATAATAAAAAAGAAAAAGAGAAAGGGGTGAAATGCCGAAGTCACCTTTTTTGTGTTGCTGTTAGTGCCACGGCTCCACTGGACATTGTTGGTGTGTTGATGAGAATGGACAGGAGAGGGCAGAAACCAGGACTCCACCTGGTACTCAACCTAAAGACTGTAACCAATCAGGTGAGACTGGAGCCTTGTGTTTGCTTCATGGACAACGTTCGGTCAAAGATGTGAGCAGTTAATAGGTCTCTAGCTTGTTTCAACTGTAATGTATATATGAAGTGTTTACAGATATTTTCCTTGTCTGAATTTGTGGACCTTACCTTTGTATATAATTTGTATATAATGATAGCATATTACTAAATGTGCATATGAAAAACAAATTATCAGCACAAACTAAATAATTAGGGGTTTAGGCTGAGGTGGCGGCCTGAAGATGCTCATGTGAAAATTCCCCCCCATTAATTCATAATGAATTAATTATGTCATGAATGTTAATTTCCTTTGATTTGGTATACCACCTTTAGCTGAATCTTGGAATTGCGTTTGTATTCAAGTACACTGCAACATTGCTCAGGTCACTGCGCTCTATTCTTACCTTTTTTTCCCACCTTTCCGATCTCTCACTTCTCTTTTAACCTCCTCTCACATAGTTTCCTGATCTCCCTCTTAAGCTAGAGGAGTCTCACATAAAAAGATTTACAGGTAGAAGGAAAGACCATTATAAACATTGGCAGAAGACTCTGGTGATTTTTGGATCACTTAATAAAGCTCCTCTATTTAATGGGTAAATGGTAAACTGTTTTGACTGGAGGATTATGTGTGTGCGTGGCTTAAAACGCAGGGAATTTACACACCATCAATAAAGCACTTTGCCCATCACTTTAATATAAACTCTGTAAGTTAAACAGTACGCTCAGGCTTTAGCTTACAGCGATAAATAATGATGAATGTCAACCAAAGAGGATCTGCGTTATCTTTGCATGCAGGAGTATTTAAATGGTTTAAACAGATTTATAATCCTCACAGACCAAGGCACTCGCCCAGAGAGTGTGTGTGAACGGTGGAGGGCCAGTTTGATGGAACACTACGGTGGATCACCAGACCCACAGCAGTACTTGCCACAGTGCGAGTCAGATGGACACTTTAGGTACGTACCAAACAAAGAGTAACAGCAATGATACAGTGATAGTGCTAAGAGATTTTACAAAAAAATGAGTTCCGCCCAAGTTATCTGATTCTTACTTTGGTGCAATCCCAGGCCAGTCCAGTGTTACGGTGAGACCACTTACTGTTGGTGTGTGGACCAAGATGGACGGGAGATTTCGGGCACCCGATCATATGACGCAGTAAAGCCTGCATGTAGGTATCCTGTGGTTTGATACAGCATGCATCAAACCAGGCCATTCGTCACAGCTTAACCTAATGTTTTTTTTCTATTCAATTATATTTCAGGCCTGCCAACAATGGCCCCGCCAATTGTGCGGCCACTGCCCCGCCCGGATGTGACCCCTCCGACAAACACTGATGTGACCCTGCTGTACGCTCAGGGACAGAAAATAGGAGCGCTGCCCATCAACGGGACCAGACTGGATGAAACCCGGTCCAAAACGCTATTGACCCTACACGTAAGAGATCCATGAACACATAGACAATTGTAGATTCTAATTCAAAGTTGGTGAGCTGCTTTGCAATGTATTGCATCAGAGTTAGAGCTATTCCAGCATTTCAAGTTTGTTTTGTTTTTTGGTTTCTGCACACGTCTAGGGTTCCATAGTTGTTGGTATAGCCCATGACTGCAAAGAAAATAAAGTCTACTGGACAGATTTATCCGAAAGAACCATTAACAGGGCTTCTATGGCTTCCGGAGCCGAGCCTGAGGTACTCATCAACAGAAGTAAGGCTGTCCAGATGCTCTCCTTTGTTTCTGGAACAGATGTTGCTCATGGCTTGAAATAACCTTCTCCTGTGTGGCCTCCCTGCTCCCTGCAGATCTCGTCAGTCCGGAGGGTTTAGCGTTGGACGTCAACCGTAGGTTGATGTTCTGGGTGGACTCGATGCCTGATGTGATTGAAAGCGCCAACTTGGACGGCAGCGGCAGACGGACCCTCTTTGACAGAGACCTGGTCAACCCCCGGGCCATCATAGTGGTTTCCTCCACCGGGTAATCCCGTTTGTCCGTCCTGTGTTGTTGCTTTTTTTTTTTTTTTTCCTGTATAAAAGAACTTTAAGCTGCAGCTCTGGTCTGGACTCGCAGGCATTTACAATCTCTCACCAGAGGAAGACAGAAAAAAAACACACCCACACACAAACACATACAAACACTGGAACATCCTGGAAAGCAATCCACTGAGTCGGAATGAGTCACCCAGAGTCAAATGACATCACATCAGGGCACACATGGTTTTCCGCCCATTATTAAAACAGTGAATTTTGAGACAGGCTGTGACTCAGCCAGTCTAGTCCCTATTAATTTAAGAGCATTTTGTTTTTTTATCACTTGATTCTATCAAGGAGGCTTGTTGAGACTGCTTGAGAACTATATCGTAAACATGAATTTGCTGGTACTAGGTGAAGAAATGGGGATTTAGGTTGGAATTACCCTTTACTTTTGCCCTTTTACCCTTTACAATCATGTAATCAAACACCTGTTTGATTACATGATTGCTTTCGTAATGCTGTCATGACATGGATTTTATGTTTATGCATCTAGCGGACGCTTTTATCCAAAGCGACTTACAAGGCAGATACATTAGGATTTTTTAGTGCTTTCTCTGGGGCCAGGCCAAGAAAACTGTTCATGGTTTACCAGCACCATCATTGGTCAAGTCTGCTAGAGTAACAGCTGCTTTTCATCATTCCAACTAATCACATAATAAACAACTACATGTGAGTGTGCCTAGATTAGCATGGCTGATTCACACACACACACACACACGGCAGCAATAACCCAGATCATAAAACTTCAAATGTGTGTTTCACATTATTGCTCTGACAAGTTTCAAGTTAGATTTTTCTGAATTCAGGCCAAATGTGCGTGTGTGTTCCAGTTGAAATGTGAGCGTTGCGGATGGTTACTGCTTCGGTCAGGCGCACTTATGGCCAGTCTCTGTCATTTCGGAGCCCACACATGTTCCCGCTTACGTGAACCCGCACTGCGCAAGCAGACAGGCCCAAAGACGCGCACAGAGTGTCCAAAAGTCTCATGTACACAAACATCTGGCGCCTCGTACCTTAAACTAGAGTCACGAGCACGTATAGCGCATGTATATGAGCTGATTGCTCATATGGTGTGTGTTACCTGCAGCTCCCAGAGGAGTGCCAGCATGTAACCCGTCATCGACTGATGAAAAGCAGCCCGCCTTCATGCGGTGTGGGGACCCTGCCCGGGCAAATTTATTGTCTTTTTTTTTAAAGGTTGTAAACAAGAAAACGTAGTTGAACTCCTCGCAAAAAAAACATCTGTGAGGAAGGCAGCTGTTTGTTTGAGACTGGACAGCGGTCCACCCATGTGGTCCACGCTTCCTGGTGTCTACCAAAGCAACACGACCTGCAAAATACACGCGGATGGTGAAAGGTTAAAGGTCGCACGTTGCTCAGAGTAACCCAACCATGACCTCATCAGCATGGAGCAGCTTGTCTCTTGAGGTTTATACGCTGTGTGTGTGTGTGTGTGTGCACATCCTTTTCATATTAGCCAGTTAAGAGTGGCTAATATGGACAAAAAAAAACTAAACAAGTCCCACAACAAAAACGATCAGCGTCATGCAAATGCAGGTGATGTGAGTCCGTTCTCAGGACTGAAAATGAGCTTGCATAATTTCGCCTTGCAGAACTCTGTACTGGACAGACTGGAACAGGGAGGCGCCGAAGATCGAGTGCTCATCCGTGGACGGTCAGAACCGCAGAGTGGTGGTGTCGGACGGGGTCGGCTTGCCAAACGCGCTAACATACGACTCCAGCACCCAACAAATCTGCTGGGCCGATGCAGGTAAGGGGTCTCACCCGCCCTCTCTGTGCAGAGGCTGCTGCCACCGGAGCGACTTGAGCAGGACTTCCCAATGTCCTGTGGGGCTGTACATCATTTGCTTTTTTCCCCTGCTTTTAAAAAGTATTACCAGGAAATTAGTTGCATAGGCTTGGTAGGAAGTAACACGAGCATTGCATACATTGATTCAGTATAAGCGTATTCTCCAAGGAAAAAGAGAAAGCATCGTCTTGGAAACTACATAAATGAACCGTTTATCAGTGTAACCCGACAGACAGCGGTTGGATCTCGTGGTCTAGGGAGACACCAAGTCCGTTCCAAACCAAGTCAGGTAGAAACATGTTGGCTCAGGAGTCCATTAAAAGGTCATTCCCAAGACCAACAGGAAACATCTGGAGCCCCTTGCTCTTATAGTTGCTCTGTTCGCTGTTACAGCAGAGCTCGACGTAAACAAAGAGCTAGGGCTTTTTTTCTCAATGGCAGTCCTGTACGTGGGTTTTTAGTAGGGGGGAGGGAGGTTTGTGTGGGTATCTGGGCAGTGACTCCACTGTTTGCCCGGAGTCACACCCGATCACAATATACAACCAAACACAGCATGATGATCTGGTCATGTGACTCTGAGATTTCAGAGCACTTGAACAATCCTTGAACAGGAGGCCCGTCCTCTGTCTTTCAGGTACAAAGCGTTTAGAGTGCATATCCCCGGACGGTTCGGGCCGAAGAGTGATCCACTCCAGCCTCAACTACCCCTTCAGCATGGTCTACTACCGGGACCACTTCTATTACACCGACTGGAGGAGGTAGCCGTCGTCATACGCCTCCCAGCGGTTCTTTTAGACTGAAAGACTTTGGTGGGTTTTCCTTTACAAACCCGAGTGCCTTTTCCTGTCTTATTCCTCTTCTTCCTCGCAGGGACGGCGTAATTGCCTTGAGCAAAACCAGCAGCAAGTTCACCGATGAATACCTCCCTGACCAGCGCTCTCATCTGTATGGCATCGCCATAGCAACCGCCCACTGTTTACCAGGTGAGGGGATGGGGGGGAAAAAAAGGATGGATGCATCCGCTTTGACGAGAACTCCCAAATTACGGGGATGTTCTCTTTATTTAAACAGTCCTCACACAGCTGGCTGAGACCCACTGCCCACACCTATCTACTTGTGTGTGTGTGTGTGTGTGTGTGTGTGTGTGTGTGTGTGTGTGTGTGTGTGTGTGTGTGTGCATGGTGACAAGAAGAGTGATGACACAGCTGTGTGCGACCCCGTGTTTGTGATTTTTGTGTGTGTGTCTGTGATTACATAGCTGTCTCCGAGCCTCTACTTGTGTTTTGGGTGAGTCATGTTTGATGTGCTGATGTCTGCAGATGGCTTCGAGTCCGTTCAAAGCCCCGCGTTAAACGCCTTCAAAGCTGCAACGCGGCCCTCTAAACACACCGTAATCCCTAAAGTGGCACCCCTGGCAGATGCTGTGCACATCTGCACGGCGCAAGATGTGCTCGCCGCAGAGCTCTGCGCGTGTAGCCAGCTAATTGGTCGGGACGGTCGTCACTGGTGTGCGGGTGTCCAAGCCCCCCCCCCCCCCCTTCCAGAGCCTATTCACACACTGTTTAACGACAACTTGCTTCAAAGACACGTGCGGTGTAATTCTGACCCTGATGACAACTCTAAAAAGACACTTGTTAAGGGTTCACGAGGGTTGTTGGAAGAGGCTTAAAAGCTGTTATTGTTGAATGCGCGAGCACACACTTGCTCACGAGGGAAAATTCTCAGCGGCCACTCGCAGTTAAGTGTAGGGGCTTTGTGTGTTTGTTCTGTCATTAGACCACCGACGCGCCAAAGCTTTCATCCCGTCACATAAAGACTCACACAGGAAGGGAAGACTTCTCCTTTCCACCTGGATCTTTTAGACTTCCTCTTTGGGGAAATTAGACGTCACAGAGATAAAGAAGTGCCTTGTTTTTTTATTTCGCAGGGAGCCACTAACAGTGGACCAGTAGCCACGGGTCCTCCGGTGCTAGTTCTGGGGTTCGGCACATGGGCAGAGGGCACAACCAGCTATCACCAGTTGCCTTCTAACGGAAGTTAGCTCAGAAGGGGGCAAAGATGGCTTCCTGTGGCCAGATAATGCCACCCGAGGGAAAAAATGCCTCGCCATCCCACTCCAAAAAGATATAACCCAAAATAAATGTTTTGTAAATTTGTTTTATACCTCATTTTAAAATTTTTCTTACTGTATTTTTGTACTGTGTCGTTTTTTGTTTTACTTTTGATTAAAGAGCATTCAGTTTGTAATGTTTGCGAGTGTACCATTTCCTGTTCTTTAAAGCCAAAGAACTTACGCATTAAGCTTTTTCCATTGTCTGCTATGAAACTAAGCATCAGGGTTTTTTCCCCAGTATTTGGAGATATTTGTAGTCCGATTATTTAGAGGTGTTTAAGTTGAACATTTAGAAAAATTAATTTAGGCATTCTTAATGAACTGAAGATGTTCAAATACCTTTTTATTATTATTCTTTTACATGCAGATAAGTTTTAACCATGACAGTTATCTCATTAGTATATAAGGTGGGGGCATCCTTTCTACCAAGATAACTGTCGATGGTTCCTATCTTTGGATTGCTAATTTCCCAGTTATTTCTCACTCATATTCAGAATACAGATTCAATGACGTACTTGTTAATCTTTATAAATGTCAGTGTCTCCGTAGCGGGAACAGCTCAACCCATCTTTCTCTGCACTATTCTGAAATTCTGACACGATAAAAGGCTAAATCTTTTGCTCTGTTTTTTTGACAAGTCTGTTGATTGTTTTGAGTTTTTTTTTTTACAACAATTCAAATCGTTATCTATTCATGAGATGTGATATTTATAACAATAAAATGTGATTTGATACTTGACACTGTCAGACTCTCATTGCCGCTGCATGTCCAGCACAACCAACTTGAAATAACCGTTTATTCCACTTGCAGAAAAAACAAAAGGGGGTAAATCTCCAGACCAAACACAAATACAACTGGAGATGCCTGCAGGAGAGTTTCGTACGAAACTAGACATCTTAGCTGGGGGGGGGGGGGAGTAGTTGTACTATCCCTGTAAGTTTTGTCTCAGCTTATTCGTTGTGTACAAAAATGAATGTCCGCGTCTGAAGGCCGGACCACGGTTCAAAAACTGCACCATCTCATGCAGGAACGGAAAAAAAACTACAAACTCATTTATGTCCCTCAAAACACAGCCAACAACAACAAAAATGAAGGCCTTTTTCTCTGAAAACGAAATTAAAAAGCCCCTGCGGTTCAGTCTCTGGCCTCCTCGCCGTCCTCCCTCTCATCTGCCGACCTTGCCCAGCCGGTGGTCTGTCTTGGGGTCGGCTATGATGGCCTGAACGGCCACGATGGCCTCGTTGATCTTGGTCTGCAGCTCCCTCAGCTCCTCGATGTGCAGCAGCCGCAGGATCTGGGCCGCCTCGTTCAGAGTCGCGTCTGTGGGGAAATGAGGCCTTTATTCTACAGAATACGCGTGCCCAGACTTGCATGAAGAATTAAAAAAAAAATATATATATATACAAACAAGTAGAATTAACTATCCTGGTTAGGCTTTTATCAACAAAAATCCACAGCATAAAAGCTGTGCTCACCTCCAGTGTCAAAACCCAGGATGTGCTTGTCTAAAGCTACAGGAATCCCCTGGAAAAATAAGAAAAAATTCACAATCCTAAAGATACAGCCCAGCAAAGACGCATCACCAATTCAATGCTGGTCTACACTGAAACAACATGCATTGAGGGAGAAACAGATATCAGCTCAGTGCGTCAGTTGCACATGAATTTACGACTTACTTCTCGATTCTGGTTGGCTTTAGTGATGGCCTCTGGGGAGAGTCTGTCCTGGATCAGAATACGAATACCCTGCAGGGCAACGGCGGAACATGCAAATGTATTCAGTGATTTTTTTACTTCTATTCAACGTTTAAATCAACTTGGGGAGAACTATCATCTCTCATGGCCGTAAAAGCACATTCGCCATCACACACCTTGAGCATAACCAGGTAATCATCGTGCCGCTGTATCTTCAGGATGTTGGCCAGAGCTGTGACTCCGGCTTTGAAATCCGGGGAGTTGCCTGCAAAAAAACAAAACAAAATGAACCAAAAAAAGAGTGGGAGAAACAAATAAACATACCAATAAAGCAAAGACAAATTGGCAGAGGTTCTATATAAAAACTGGCTGAAACACAAATGGACACAAAAAGAAAAAAGACACCAGAGGAAAGGAGAAGCTTAATAAAGGTTTTTTACACACTGTCGAGGTTGAGCAGAGGGTCGATGACCTTATCGCTGTTACTGGAAGCTGCCAGCGGCTGGCAGTTCTTGTATTTTTCAACTGGGGAGAAATGCGCAAGACTCAGTGAGACAAAAATCTAACGCACACATTCTAAACAGTTTTTTTCCTGACATGGATGCTGATCCCTTCTGTTACACTTCCACCCGCTGGTCAACACAGGTAGTGCAACAGCGGAGACTTTCCTCCCATTTCTGGCAGATCGGAGATGCCTAAAACTGAACAAAGTAGCAGCCGTCCCGTCATATGAGCCGCATCTCACCGTTATCTCCGTATTCATAGCGCACAGCCAGGCCAAGCAGCCAGTCTACGCCCTCCTGCTTCTCCTGGACCCCAAACGGACAGTTCAGGTCCTTGAGGTACTGCACAAAACACAAAGGGAGCGCATATTCCACTCATTCCGGTGCCATGTGGATGCAAAATCTGTGGACAGCCGTGGTCTCACCTTCTGATACGCTTTGGGCCAGTCCGAGCTGGGCACGTTCCTCAGGTTGCCCCTGTCCTCTATCTTGTAGTGCCGAATCTTCTGGTCCTCCAGCCACACGATGATGTTCCTGAACTGTGTCTCATCTGCTCGGAGGGAGATTACAGGGAGGGCACATTTGCTGATAGAGAAAACTGCTGGTGCATGCAGGAACTACTCAGAGAAATGAAGGGAGTCATTCAGAGATGGAAAATACTTAAGAGCTGCAGAATGAATTTCCTGTTCTGATCATCATCTGCTGATTCATACAGTCACATTATAGCGTCAACATAAGAAGAAGCCGGTATACTGTTCCAAACTATGACACTGACAAACTGTCTTCTTATTTCGGGTCACAGTGGCCTGCCAAATTGCACGTTGCTCCGAAACGAATTGCCTCATAAAACCACCTATATCCACTTCGTTGATGGTAAAGCTACATATGCCGGACAAAATTGTAGCACTTTACGAGAAAGAAGAAAGGAAAATTATGTTAAATCGGACGAAACTGACATAAAAAATAAATAAAAGACACATGAAACTGCTATTTTTAGTCCGGCAGTGTGCCCTCTTTTGCAGTGACGGGACCTGATACGTATACTGGCGTTAGCCGGCTCCACAAGGAACTGCTTTAAAGAAAGGAAAAAAACAAACAAGAAATCCGTACCTGAGCAGTCAAATCCGCTCGGGTCGTGGTAATCTAGAGCAGTCAGTTTTCTGCGAAACATCTCAACACGTGTTAGTGTGCAACCTCTGCTCTTTTCTCCCGAACGTTGAAACGACTGGTTTTCTGTTAGCTGATAGTAACTGGCACTGCGCATGCGTCACCGGAGCATTTCACTTCCTCTTTTCAGAATAAATTCATTACGTTAATTATCATAGTACAACATCCTCGCCATACGTCTTGTTAGGCTTCAAATATTTAACCACTGGGTTTAAAGTTATCAACATGTTTAGAAACAAATTCCCTTCATACAAGATTTCATGGCACTTCAAGTAAATAGAAACACAGAAACTTTATTAATCTCAAAGGAAATCAATTAGTAAGGTTACTACCTTGCCTGTATTCAAAGATGTAATCCCAAGTAACTATACTACTGATTTCAGAAAGGTCTTATATTCAATAAGCACACAAGAGACAATGATTGCAAAAAAAAAAAGAACAACTTTATTAAACATCAAGTTTTAAAAATGAAGAAAAGTAATTCTTGATTACTGAAAACACAACACGGATAACTCAAATGTTTGACTTTCTGTAAGCTTGGTGGTGGATGTGGACACTCAGAAAGGCCTCATGCGCGTGCTGAGGGGTGGAGCTCTATTGGGTGGTGTGATGGCTATATCCAGGTAATCTCCGATCTGGAATCGCTGTGACTGCAACGTCATGGAGTCATCTGGACCCTTTCTTCCAGATACCGTGCTACCGATGTCTTTCAACCTGAGGGTGGAGGGAATCGGCGCGGATTAGCAGGATGATACATGTCCGCACAATGATTTTAATCCAGTCAGCCCTTAGTGTGATACTTACTTGTACATTTTTCCTCTGGGATCGGGAAAGACAATGGCAAAGCTGAAATGTGTGCCCTTTTTCCTGGCCTCTGGATACACTTCCTTTACTAATCCAGTGAGCTCCTTCAGAGTTGCATCCATCCTGAAAAAAAAACAAACAGTAAAAATGCTTCAATGCCCAATTCCACGTTCCGACCGAAACAGCATCTCCACCAAGACCTTAACGATAACATGTTGACGTTTTTACCATGTATATATTTGCAGCTCGCTGGAGGGAACGTTGCCCCGAGAAAATTCATCCACTCTGTGATGACGGCCACTGTTGGTGGTAAAAACCCGCAGCAGAAGGGGGCAGGTCTGCAGCAAAGATGAGAAAACAGAATGAGATTATACCAACTAAACAAGTCACTATTAAGGGAGACCTGATACAATGTTACCCTTATCCCCTTCAATTTCTAATGGTATTAGGATTTAAAATAATGAAATAGGATCGTTACCCTAACCCCAAAAAAAATTGGGACTACATCTATGTTGAAAGTTCTTACTTTCATGTCCGGTATACCAATAGGTTAAAGGTGAGTTTTCTCCCTCTTGTGGTCATATAAAGCTACTACAACTGATCATTTTTTGTTCAGCTGGCCATCATTAAGTTTGGAATCAACGTGCAAGTTGTAGGTGAGGGTTAATGGAAGAAATTAGCATGTTTTAACGTATTATGAAACTGAATTGTTCGACACACTTGGCAAATAAACATTATTGAGTTTATTTGTTAAACTTTTCTTCAAGGTTTGAAAGTTAAATGCTAGGTTTGCATTACCTGTCATAATACAGCGTTTGGCGAACCTCTTATAACGGTCGATACGTAATTATTCTTAAAAATTGTGTAAATTCAGATGGGGGAAATGCAATTCAACTTTGCACAATTATGGACATTTTAATCAACATCACAAAACGTTGCAGATGCTAAGCTAGCACGCTTGCACTAGCATGGAATACAGGGTTTTCTCGTTCTAACCATTATGTACTTTAACACTAACACTTTAACAATAGCACCAGCTCCGCCAAAAACTAGCTCAAATTTTCCTTTAGAAATTAGCTTTGTAATAAGATACTTTTATGAACTAAATCAGTATGAAGATTGGTAACTTAGCATTTAAGGTTTAGCAGTCCAGGCTAGCTCGGGACTCGTTGGGTAAACAAGCAAACAAGAGGATCGGGTGAGTAAAATCCATCTGTTCACCTTTTCGCGGTCAATAGGCTTCTCTGGCTCCTTTTTTATTTCCTCCTGTGTGATGCGCGATTCAAGGGCCATTTTCCTTACGAAGCACTGCTGTAGTTTGGGTGCGCGTTTAGCTGCAGAGCGTTGGTATTTTTTCAGAGAAGTTGCCGCACTACACAGCAGTGAGAAAGGACGCTTCCGTTTCCGGTCTTCTTCTTCTGCAGTTTTTATGTTGATACTGTTCACTGCCGCCCTCTGCCACTGTTCTCCTAAAACTATACAGTACAGTATGTTTTGCACCAAGTCCAGTTATCCATCAAGCCATCGTCAAATTTATAGTATGTCCCCTTAGACATGGCCTTTTTCATGCCACTGAGTTAAACCCGATTTATATCAAATGTCCCACATTTAGATTTTCAAAGCACATTAATGGCAAATCTTGTAATGTGCTCATTCAAGATGATTGTTCAATGGATTCATTGTTTTTCCTCACTAGTCAAGTGTTTTTAAAGACAATTTTTAAAGACAGCAAAATCTAGACATTCCCGAGATCTCTTGCAGTGCTTTTACAGATTTTCTCAGAGTGGCTGATCTGGGATCATTCAGCCAAGTCCACCTACGGGACTGAGACCTGCTATTTGGTCACATGCTGCTCTCCCCCTCACTCATTACACTGCGGGTGGGTGGGTTAGTGTAGGTTTCAGGGTAACTTATATGTGAGTGTGTGATTGTACAGTATGTGTCTGTACAGTGAGTGGTTGTGTGTGTGCCTCCTGACAGTGCTAGCCTCTGTTCTCTGGCTGACTGGCTGATTAGGGACCAGGAACTACTCTAACAATCAGCTCTTGATCCCCCCCCCCCAAACCCTCTCCCCTCACGGAGTAGCTTGGAACAATCTGCCAGGCTTCTCCCATCTGCTTCAGCCCTGAGAGATCAAACAGTGGCCCTTTGAGTCCAGGCCTGACACTGATACCCATTCACTGACATGCATCAGGAATAAGTGTTGCTGTGGTTCTACTAATGACTCCATTAGAACAACTGACATCCTTTCTCTTTTAGTCCAGGATGTTTTGATTTTTCTCTCTGTCTCCATCACAGCGAATTGCACAGAAAGTCTCCCCCCTCGTGTCTGCAGCTGAAACTCCTCGTCACATCACCTCCAGAAGTCCTTATTTCAGAGTCGAGAGCGTCCGCAGTGCAAACCCGTGGACGTTGCTCTTGCTCCCACACTTCAACAAACAGTGGGAACAGCTCATCAGTCACAGTGAGCGGGAGCACACAGAGCTGCACTGTCCTGCAGGCTGGCAGCTGCCAAGAGATGGTTTGGATCTCCCCTACCTGTGTCCAGTTACAGTCACAAAGAGGACTCGCATGCACGGATGTGTTCACACACACACACCTTCACAGCACAGTGCAACGTTGTTCTTTCAACCCTGGGACTTCCAGGCTGAGTGAATGGGCCAAGTGTTGCCCAACAGACGGTGACCGTGGCCGCTGTTTTGTGTTTTCTCTGACAAATGTGAGAATCAAGCCCCTCCTCTCAATAATTACTCAGTTTCAAAATCAGCAGCAGGATCTTGACCAAACTGATAAAAGTTGTGGCTTTTAACCTGTTGTGGCTTTTTTCTGTTAAGTTCTATGGCACATATGTCAAAGTCAAGACCCGCAGGCCACATCCGGCCCGTGAATTGATTATCTATAGCCCCCTGGATGATATTTAATTATTATTAGAACCGGCCCGCAGGCCACAGCCGCCCGATGGTGTTTTGCACGCACCAACACTACATTTCCCACAATGCAACGGTAGCCCGCGTAGTCACTGCAGCGCGAAGAAACGGCTTCATTCATTCAGAGCAGAGATCGACTTTTTGAAACCCCCTCCTCAAAAATGACTAAACGTAAGGTGGACGCTGAGAGCAGGGGGTTTCAGGCCAGGTGGGAGGCAGAGTACATGTTTACGGAGGTAAAAGACAAACCTGTGTGTCTTCTGTGTGGAGAAAGTGTGGCTGTAATGAAAGAATTTAATTTAAGAAGGCACTATCAAACGTCTAAGAAACAGATAGACAAAGACAAGAATATGGAATATGAACAAAAGCTACAGAAGGTGGAAGAATTAAAACAAGGCCTTAAGTCCAGACAGGCTATGTTCACATATGCTAAATCACAAAGTGAGGCTGCTGTCAAGGCTAGCTTTGTTGTGCCATACATTTTTGTATTTTATTTATTTATATTTATTTTGAATGGACTCAGGGAATCATTGTGAATATGTGTGAATACACTGTGTTAGGTCTTGGTTCAATAGTCTACGTGCAATCGTTTCAATATGTTTTAATAAACGTTGAACCAGTCTGGCCCTCAGCTTGTAGCAAATTAGTTTTTTTGGCCCTCGGTGTGTTTGACTTTGACATCCCTGTTCTATGGTAACACATCTACTGACCTTTTCTGCCACAAAAACAGGATTAGCAATACTTTGTAGCTCGTTAACTTGCCAAAGTCACACCTGTTTGCATCTAATACCAGCTGGAACTAATAATTGATAATTGTCATTCCCTCTCAGTGCTGGAGGAACTAGTGAATGTGGCACACTCTTTTGCCGTGGATCAAACAGCTATCAACTGAAAGGCTTCTCCTTGTTTTTTCCTTTTATTGTCTTACTCGTCCATGGCATCTACCTCCATGCAAGTCGGTGTTTCTGGTCTCAGGGCAAGTTAACCGAATACAACCGGGAGACTCCGGTTTATTCGGCATCAGGACAGCTTCCAGTTTAAAACGATGGCTTTTTCATCCCCACTAAATGGACTAATTTGGAACGTTTGCTGTTAGATTTACATGATGGGTGCTTTTATAAAGGACTAAAAACTCAGCAAAGCAGGAGACAGTGCAGCATGTAGCCAGCTGTTTTAAACATCTGCGCCAATTCAAAATTCAAGATATTTGCCATTTGTGTACAAAGTCACAGGGCAGAAGATTTGGGATTTTTGTGCAGTCAACCGTTTATGACATGTAACACTAAAACTATATAAAAACCATGTAAAATGTATAAAAACACAGTACAATACAATGTTATGAAAGATAAAATATTTCAAATATAAATGAAATGCGCACAATCTTAAAAAAAAAAGAAAGATACAAGTAATTAAACAACGGAGGAGGTCATATGACAAGTCAGGGAAGGTAGTGAGAGATGATTGCTTGACAGCGTACTGTGTTTGACCTCTTTGATATTTGAGTTTGTTCTTCCTCCAAAAAGTTGCTGGAGCAGGTTTTACTCTGAAAGTCAGCACAGGAAGTCGGGACATTTTCTCCTGTTGACTTCACACTTGGAGGAGCATCTTCTGAGTTCATGCAGAAGACGCAAGAGCTGCGGGTTTGTGTTTTCTCATGAATTCAGATTGTTTGATGTGAAATGAGACGCCCGCCTGTTTGCTTTAAGGAGGTTGTTTGTTTGCAGGACGGGAATATGCGGAATATTTTACGGCCAGAAACCTGACACACCAGAGGCAAGGTGAGAAAAATCAAACCGAATTCAAGCATAACTTACTTTTAGACAGATCTATCCATTGTTTTTTGTTTGTTTTTGTGTTTTACATCATGGCTTTCTTCTGTTTCCTTTTTATGGGAATAATTTCCTCTCTGGACACACGTGTTGAGAACACATCAGTGGTACTAGTGCAGTACGTATCATGTGAATAATCAATGATAGATAAATCTAAAATTCAGTAATTGTGAATGGTGAGACTTGGGGTGGGCTTACACAGTGTGTTCAGTGTTTTTTTTTTTTCCTTCCGTAGAGTGGGCTCTTATCAGTGGGCAGGGAGGTTCAACAGTTCACATGAATGTTGGCACCGGGCCTTCCCCGATCCTCCTCTCACTTTCATTCCTTCTCTTTCCCCTCTTCCTTTCAAACTTGTCTTTTGTTCAGTGGCATCGCTCTGCTTTCATCTTTTGCCACGGACGTCCTTCCAAAGCATCCACTCTGAGTATCTCTTGGCTGATGGGTAGCTGAAAAACCCCCTGATTTATACTCAGGGGCATGAGAACTGTAGTCAGGGCTTTTCTAGTTTTCCAAACACTCTCACTGACCATTTCCTACTCTGTGTCCGCACCAACAGGATGTCCTGGCCTGCTCTTTACGCTCAGCTGGTCGGTGCAAATCGTCACTCTACCTCGCTGGGTAAAATCTGGCTGTCCGTGCTGTTTATTTTCCGGGTCCTGGTGCTGGTTGTAGCCGCAGAGAGCGTCTGGGGGGATGAGCAGTCTGATTTCATTTGTAACACACTACAGGTAGGGTACCATGTCAGTGCTGCCGGATGACACAACTGTTAAGATTAATAAGCTTTTCCCAAAGCGGACGATTTGAGGTGTAATTTGTATAAGAGATGGAGCATTCCAATAAAGGGACTAGATGTTTTCACCTGCATCCACTCCTGGGCTTTCTTAAAATTTATCATATGACACATTTCAGCACGGTATAACTTTTTTAAACTGCATATTGTCAGAGTAAGACTTACTAAACCTTCAATGAAGATCCCAATAGACTCATCCCACACCATAAAGTGGTGTAAAAACTCAGGGAATCATCACCTGTTGTAAAAAAAACAAATAGAAAAAACATATAGAAGCCCACTGATACAATTCCATGTTCTTCTAAGTTGTTTGAAAGTCCAGTGCATTATTTATGGCGTGTGTCACAGGCTCTTGGTCATCTGTAGAAAAACAAAACAGGGTTCATTCTACGATATTAGAAGAAGATGCGCTCTAATCATAAGCAGTGTTGCATTAGCAGAATTGAGAAATGCTGCTCCACCCCGAGCCCTAGAAGTCATTGGACAGGTTTCCATCAATGACACTGCTTTCTCTCTATCTCTCCTCTTTTTTTTTTTGTCAAAATCCCTCAGCCTGGGTGTGAGAACGTCTGCTACGATCAATTCTTCCCCGTCTCCCACATTCGCCTCTGGTGTCTTCAGCTCGTCTTTGTCTCCACCCCAACGCTCCTGATCGCCATGTATGTGGCCTACCGTAACCGCACCGATAAGAAGTTGCTCCTTCAGGTGTGCACTTTTTCTTTTCTTTTCTTAATAAACACAAAGCCTGGTCATGATGCCACAGTCAGTATCTATTGACATTAGGTGGTGTCATGTGGTCACACCAGCAATACGTTCAGCTGATTTCAATATCATGACATTTTTGGGGGGTTTCTACTGTCTGAAAATTCTGCTGAGGGCTACATGGGTTTGTTTGTTGAAAAGAAAAAAATCTGAGGAAACCCCATGTCTTCAGACAGTGTCTATTAAGTCTTTTGTCAGACTGATTAATTCATTTATCTTTTTCTCCCATCTTGCCATGCCATGTCTCTTTGTGGCATAGGGTTCTGGCAGAGCAAGTTTCCTTGGTAACAAGGGCCCAGAGGAGGATTTGGAGGCTCTGAAGAAGCGGAGGCTCCCAGTAACTGGTGCCCTCTGGTGGACATATGTCTGCAGTCTGGTGGTCAGGATGATGTTCGAAGGTGGATTCCTGTAAGATCCAACACTCACATTGTGTTTCGGGGGTCCGATCAAATGGTCTAGGCTCTGAAGTATCAGAGCGGCAGCTACCATAAGAGAGAAAAGCCTTTAGCTTATTGACCAGATCCTGAACCTGTCTTATCTGTTTGTTGAAAGCATAAAGTCACTTTCTCTCCCCCTGCCCATCTCTTTTTCTTTCAGGTATGCCCTCTACACGGTGTACGATGGCTTCCAAATGCCACGGTTGGTGCAGTGTGACCAGTGGCCGTGTCCTAACCTGGTGGACTGCTTCATCTCACGCCCCACTGAGAAAACCATCTTCACCGTCTTCATGGCCACGGCCTCCTCCATCTGCATGGTCCTCAACATGGCCGAACTTGCATATCTAGTTGCCAAGGCGATCACTAGGTAGAGGTATTAATCAGTCAGACAGTCAGGTGTTAACAATCAACCTTAATTAAACACTGATCAGATTATTTAGAGTGATAAGTACTCCAAATGCTTGTGATGTTGTTGGCAGCTCATACTGTCCAACATCCTTTTTTTCCCCATAGGGGTCTGTATGGGAAGAGGGAGATGAAATCAACCAGCTGAGAGAGACATTTGTCTAAACCTGAAGGCACAGAAAAAAGATGGATGATGCCCTAAGAAAATAATTCCAAAGACTAGTAGAACACCTGGAAGTAGGTGTTAGTGTAAATACAATTGAAGAGGTAGAAATTCTCTATGATACCTAAAATACTGGCTAACTTACTCTGGGTGGAGAGTATATCAACTGTTAAAACGGCTACAATTGTTAGACTTATGTAAAAAAAACACATTTTAGAGTTGCATAGTGAGACATGTTGGATAATTGGTTAAAAGGTAAGAAGTAACCGCATGGAGCCACTGTGTCATCTGCTGGACACTAACGGAACAGCACTGAGACAACGAGGGTCCAGCGGTCCAGCACACTGCGCTTTGGACACGGAAATACAGAAAACCGGCACGTTCGGTATGCTTTACCAATAACCTTTCAGTATCTACTCACAATTTCTCCTGCAAAAAAATAAAGTCTCGCTTACTTTTGGTTGGTCTGAGAGTTTCATTCAACCAAACACAAAGATAACAACACCCCTGATTTGCAAAGATTACAACACTCACTGAGCAGTGATTTATTTCCACATGATGAGCATTGATGGAATCATTTCAAACACTCAAGAAGACCTTTGATTTTGTCCAGCCACGTTGCCACACAATTAATTGTTTTTGATACTGTTTCCTCCATTTTGACTTGCTTGCTTGCTGAATGTCTTTAGGATAATAAGCTATGTCATCATTAAGTTTTGAGATATTTTACTATTTCCTGGTGTTAATTTCATTATTTGCATGTTTCTGTTAGTAGCCAGAGTGTACAGGTCAAAGGAAGTAGCAACTGCAAGTTTATGGATTGAAGACAATCCTTGTCCCCATGTTACTGTAGATGAGAGTCTGTCCTTTCTGACCGTACACGCCCAACAAGCCTGCCAAGAATGGCACCAAAATATTGGCTGCCTGTGATGCAAAATCCAGCTATGCATGGAATCTGCAAGTATGCACTAGAAAAGCTACCTGGAGGAAAATCTGAGAAGAATCAGGGGATGCATGTGGTGCTGGAGATTAGTGAAGGGTTGCAAAGTCATATCATCACCTGTGACAACCTTTTGTCACTTGTTCCAAAGTAACAAGGAATGCCTTGGAGAAGAACTTCAGAAGAGAAGGCTGACCATGTTGGGATAGTCAGGAAAAATAAGGCAGAACTTCTCAGTGAAATTCAGAAGATGCAGGGCAGAGCTCAGTATTTGCTTTCATTGAGAACGTGACAGTTGTCTCATACCGCCCAAAGATAAACAAAAATGTTCTTGTATTGAGTACAATGGAAGCTGATGCATCTCTGGGCACAAGAGAGGACTTGAAGCCACAAGTGATCCTGGGTTATAAATCCACCAAAGGAGGAGTTGAAAATCTGGACAAAGTCACAGCAACATACAGCTCCAGACTCGAGCCAGGCTAGCTTGACCCACAGTAGCAGCGGCTATCATTGAAAAGCTCAAGCTCAGGTCCCCCAACCAACACCCAGTGGACAGGTGAAAAAGAAAGGGAAAACCAGGATGCCAGGTCTGTCCATCCCCAGAACACAGTAAAATAAGTACCTCTTGTGTGAAATGTAAGAATTACACCCGCAGAAAGTACATATTAAAATTCGAAAATGTGTTAGTGAAGAGGGAAAATCCCCAAAAAATAGTACTTAAAGAAAGTGTTGGAATTAAAAATGGATTGTATGTCACTTTTCTAAAGGTTCATTCAATATTACATCATTTTTTATTTGTTTCACCTGTTTTTTTACTGTTTTGCAGTCATTTACATGGTGCGGGTCAAAATGACCCGCAACATAATCAATGTAATTTTTTTCTAACATAATATGAGGGTTAAACGAATCTTTTTGTTTGTTTTTTTTGTTTTCCTTTGACTTGTCAGGAATGTGGCGTCTGGTCTGCAAACAAAGTCACGCGCGCACACACAACAGCCAGCACGTAGCTGCCCCACAGCGCGTGCCCCCGGTGCGCCCCACGCGGGGACTCCACAGCGCGTGCCCCCGGTGCAGGGGCTCCACACACAGCGCGCCTGTCGCGGATGACGTTGGCCAATGGCCACGCGGGACGCAGCCGCTGCGCTTCGCCTTCGCGGGACGGCTTCCACACGTGCCCCTCCTGTTTTTTTTCCCCGTGTGTTTTGTTTTGTTCTGTTTTTTTTTAGGTTATCTTTCAGACCACACAATCCCCGTGTCTTTCTTTTAGCTGTTTTTTTATTATTATTTAGCAATGCTTTTTCTCTTCTAGTTTGGCTCTACTTTTTTTTTTACTCTCATCATCTCTCTCTCTGCATCTCCGTGGATTTTTGTGTGCGTGTGTGTATACGTGTTTGTGTGTGCGTGTGTGTGTGTGTGAGAGAGAGTGTGTCTCATCCTCCACCCCCACCTATCTCCCCCTATACTCCTCTCTTGCTGCCCCGAGCCCAACCGTGGGGACTGAAAGAAGGAAGAAGAAGGGAAGGAGTGAGGGAGGAAGCGCGCTGCCGGGAGGGAGACGGTAAGCTGGAGGATGCTGGAGGATGCTGGAGAGAGGCTGTTGGCTGAAGTGGGAGGGAAGAGGAGGGGATTATCATCTTTCCACCTGCTGGATTAGGAGCGCCTCTGGTGCGGCGTTCACTTCCCAGTGGGAAAGAAAGGATGCCACTACCGCTCTATATGGTGTGGAACTTTCATATAGAAACTAAATTCCTCATTTCTTGTCTTGATATTTTAGCAGTCTGCTCTCAACAAATCTTCTAAATTGAGTAACAGGTGCTGTTTCCACAGGCTGAAGCAACGCTCACCTGTAGAGCTCACAATTTAAAATCCCCTGGATTATTTAGGTGCCAATTTATAGACGACGTATTCTGTATATTTAATATAACGAGATGCAGCCTTTCACAGGTTTTCTGGTAGGGTGTCAACCAGAATACATTTTAATATGTTGTCAATACATTTTAATATGTTGTCAATGTTTTTTCTTTTTATATTGGAATGCTGGAAAATGACATACTAGCACTTTTGGGGCTAAATGTGTGGGTTAATACAGGGCTCACCATCACTTGGTTTAAATTTTATGCACGTTTTTAACACAGCTGTTTCCTTCTTATATTTCGGAATGATTTTGTGCTATTTATTGGATATTTGCTGTGTCGGTATTTACATAAACAGCAGCTTTAAAAGCGTTCATTTTTAGCTGGACTGAATTATCTTTTTGTGTATCATCATGCACGGTAATGTGCTACATGTTTGTGCCTATTTTATAACTTTAAGAAATGACCTGTTGTATTGTCTAGATATTTTTGAGTAAACCCAAAGGTATTTGGTTAACGGGCTAACTCTCTGCACCTGCAGCAGAGGCTTTCATTGTGACCGTCTGCGTATCTTGAAAAAGGGTTTCAGGGTGCAAATGGCAGTCCAAGAGTTAACAGTTTGGGCTGCTGCTGCACAAAGACCTCTGATCCATCAAAAGCACACACCAAGCAGGACAATGCCCATCTGGTAGCTTCTCCATTGTCAGCCCTGACAGGTGGTATGTCATCATGTCAACACATCATGCACATCCACACAGGCCACTGTTAGATTGGCGCATCTATAGACGGATACTGTAACTGGTCTAGTCATTTGTTTGCTATGACCCCGGCGCAGGAATTTAGGAAAGCCGATGACTGTGTGCAGGTCTGGCTTTTTGAGGGGACGCTTTGGAGGTTTTATAAGAGTGAATTTGAGAGCATTACGAACTGATTTGTCCTGAAACCTCCAATATATGTGAAATCTCCTTCATAGGGATTTACATTCCTTTCCTAGTCCAGCAAATTACTTCTTAAAATCTGAGGTAAGGGGTGAAGCGTCATACAATGTATTGCAGAGGTAAAGGGCTCACACTATCACATGAGTTGACCCAGACTTGACGTTTTAATTTGCTTTGTATAAGTAAACGTATATGTTTTTGTGTGTTCATATAAGTAAATCCCAGTGAAACATTTGCTCCCCTCAGCATTCCTGGGATGTGATGAGTCCAGCATTCAACATGTTATCCACTCATTCACTTCCCACAGATGGCCTGACATTGTCCACCAGTCTGCCGGACCTGCAGCACTCTCACACACACACACACGCACACACGCACACGCGCACGACTGGACACAGGAGAGAAGTTAAGCTCGTTTTACGTGTTTACCTATATTATATTATCGTCAGCACTCAAGATGTTCCATTAAATGTTTCTTTTACGCCAATTTTATTGATTAAATTGATTAATTTATTTTCACCTGATAGTTTGTGGTAATTCAGTTGATAACAAGTCCAGGGCTGCTTGAAATGGTCCCTTTCCAAATCATAAAAAACAAAACAGAAATCTAAGTAAATGGTCAACTTTCATCCGTCTCTAAAAAACAGCCACAGTTTTCATTTTGTTTGTGTTTGTGTGAGTGAGCTACAAAGTTCAAGTGTATTCTGTCTCTCCCTTCCAGATATAGATTATCGTCTGATCTCTGGTCGATGGATTTACCACTGACGACACAACAGTATTTTCGTAAGTGCCCTTCCTCTGTCATCACGCAGTCTGAACTGACTTGTGGTCCTTAGATTTACTAGTTCTCTTGGGATCAATGTTCTTTTGTGTGGACCAGTTTCATGAAGAAAAACACGTTTGACTCTAGAACCTTTGCCATACAGAGGAGGCCATGATGGATTGAATGACTGCAAGGAGCCCTGAGCCCATATCATAATTTCTCCACCTATGCATTATTGGTCAAAACATGGTAACTGAGGCCTGTTGAGTCTGAGATGTAGCTCTTTTTTTCAGTTTCTCGTAGCATTGCATGATGTGGCCATGGGCTTAAATTATTAGGATTTCTGGGACAGTTAACACCTTTCTTGAATTCTTTCCTTTTGAAGAATAACCTTTCACCCTGCAGAATGACGGCCCCTGAAGTGCTTGGAAATTGACTTATCCTGGGAATTGTATTGATACATACCTACATGCTACAAGGCAGCATTCTAATAAAAACCTCTGCTTCAAGAGCCCTACATATAATAGCGTATTTGTTGAAATTGATCAACAGCATCTGTTTATTCCTAAGGAGGCATTTTAAAATGTCGGAAATATTCTATTCCGGAGCAATTATAGACTACTCCAGAATGTGTCATTTTCCAACTTTTTTTCATGCACAACACAAACAGACCACAATTAACTAGTTAAGCCATGATTCAGAAAAAAGAACACACACATTCAGTATATCCTGTCTTCAAACAGCACAAACTCATTCAATGTACGTCTACTTTCATTTCAGTCCATCCTTATGTCTTCAATCCCTCTTGCGGTACTTCAAGAAATGTTAACCTTTTTTTTTGGCCTAAAATAGTGCTCGGCTCCCATGGCTGTTCATCATCAGGCTATGTCGTGATCTTCACCTCATTCTATTGTCTGTATTCAGTCTAGAAAATCAAGTGAAGCATGGGTGACTGGAGCTTTTTAGGGCGGCTGCTGGAGAATGCTCAAGAACACTCCACTGTGATTGGAAAGGTGATCAATCATTGATTAACACTGGAGCTGCATAAGCTTCTTTCCCTCCTCTAACACAGCTGATTTACTCTAACCTTTTCTGGGTCATTCATTGCCCATTTCAACTTTGTACCGTTTACAGATAAAATTGAATTCATTTTGTTGTTCAGTTTCAAATGAGCTGGCCGTAACATCTGAGCATTTTGCACTTATTTTGTGGAGACAGCTCATGAAGTTCTCCCAGCAAAAGTTACTCAGAGTTCCCTCCTTCCTCGTCTTGGCTAGCTGCGGTTCTCTCGCCTCTCTCCAGGTGTGGCTGACGGTCCTCTTCATTTTCCGCATCCTGGTGCTCGGAGCAGCAGCTGAGGAGGTCTGGGGAGACGAGCAGTCGGACTTTACCTGCAACACGCAGCAGCCCGGCTGCGAGAACGTGTGCTACGACGAGGCCTTCCCCATCTCCCACATCCGTTTCTGGGTGCTGCAGATCATCTTTGTCTCCACACCCACCCTGATCTACCTGGGCCATGTGCTACACATCGTCCGCATGGAGGAGAAGAGGCGGGAGCGAGAGGAGGACCTCAGAAAGGCTGGACGGCACCAGGAGGACCAGGACCCTCTCTATCACAATGGGGTTGGTGATGGTGGTGGTGGTGGTGGTGGCAGAGGAGGCGGTAAAAAGGAGAAGCCTCCGATCCGCGACGAGCACGGGAAGATCAGGATCCGCGGAGCACTGCTGAGGACATACATCTTCAACATCATCTTCAAGACTCTGTTTGAGGTGGGCTTCATCCTGGGGCAGTACTTCCTCTATGGCTTCCACCTGAAGCCGCTATATAAATGTGGCCGCTGGCCCTGCCCCAATACTGTGGACTGCTTCATCTCCAGGTTAGAGAGTCCAACTTTATTTCTCCACATCATGATCAAGAAAATAAATCTCCTTGAATGGTAGGGGCGGGCAACTCCTGCCCTTGGGTGTCGCTTCCCTGTCTCAACACACCTTAAGCATATCATTTTAAGAAGAAATCCATTTAATCAGAATCAGGTATCTTGAAGCAGGGAAACCTGTAGGACAGCGGCCCCTGAGAACTGGAGGTGCCCACCCCTGCTTTGTAGTCTGTCTTTTAATAAATTGTGTTTTCTCATACTGTTTATTGTATTTCATTAATTCTCAAACATTTGATCCATTGCTGTATTTCTAGTAACTGTTTTACCCAGCGGAGGGCAACTTCTCATTATTTGTCAGTTTAAACTGAGAAACTATATTCTTAATTATTTTTTTAAAACTTTCCTGTGTAAATTTGAGTCCATTAGGACAGAGTCAATTATGCTCGTCTCTGAATGGACATATTCCAAAAACATTTCTGTTTGATTTTATGTCCTGTATTTTTCCAATAACGTGAAACGATGAAATATTTGGAAACTGAAATCTGTTGCTTTCCTTTGTTTCATCAGGCCCACTGAAAAGACTATCTTCATTATATTCATGCTGGTGGTTGCATGTGTCTCTTTGGTCCTCAACCTGCTGGAGATCTATCACCTGGGCTGGAAGAAGGTCCGGCAGGGGGTCACCAATGAGTTTGCTCCTGACAGCGGGTCGCTGCTGGGCGCAGAAGAGCCCGGGGATGCAGAGACGATACCCGAGCGGGCCTCACGCACCTCGGCGCTCAACTGCCTGCCAGCTTACGCCAACATGGCGGATGGAGCCGGTGATGGAGGAGCTTACAGCTCCAGTGACACTTCTCCCACCGTTAGCTCCTCAACTCCTAACATGGAGCCCGCCCCTATGGCCGGAGGACTGAAGCTAGAAGGCGCAGTATTCCAACCAGATTACTTTCTGGACGTGCAGCCCTCTTCTATTTATGACAACGGCGAGCGGGTGAACGTTGGAAGCTGCGGACATCTGGCGGAGATGAGGCAGAACTGGAGCAACGCAGCTCTGGAGCTTCTCGACGCGAGCGGGAAAAAATCCTCCTCCTCCTTGTCCTACCCCCCTCCTCTATCCTCCCCCCACGTGTCTGGCTCCTCCTCCCCCCAGGTGGAGATATCCTCGCCGCAGGAGATGCAGCACTCCATGTTCCCCACGCTTCCACGCAATACCCCGCTGTCTCCGCTGGCGCCAGAAGAGACGGCGGACTGGGGAGACGCTTCAGCCCCGCCTGAAGACTTCGCGGTGGTGACCAGGGCAGAGATGCACCGGCCCCCGGCGGGGAGCAGGAGGCCAAGTAAGGCCGGCAAGAGCGGCAGTGCCCGAGCTCGTCCGGACGATCTGGCAGTGTAGCTAAAATGCTCACCCGCACCCCAGTTTTAATAAATGCGCCCAACATGCTCGTTCCACAAGGAGAGCCCCTTCCCCCCCCCCCCCCCCCCCACTGCAACTGCAGCGTGAATTCACATTGAAACACCCCCCCAGCCGCCCGGAACTGCTGCGACGCCAAGCACCAGGCGCAACCAATCACAGGCCTGTGTATGTGAGAAGAGAGCGGTAAAACTCCTCACCGTGTTTGTGTAGTTACTATGGAGCAGGGGGGTCAGTTAGCGGAATCGAACATAGAGACTCGGCTCGTCTCAAAGCTCAGATGAATGAATCAGCAATATATTTTCTTTGTGTGTGTGTGTGTGTGTGTGTGTGTGTATTGGAAACAGAAGAAAATTATTTGGGTCGTGACGGGAAAACCTATGCAGGTACAGGAACGCTCCATTCAGAAAGACTTGCACCTCGGAGCTGATCACTCCCTGCACTGAAACTATCTCCTGTACCACCTTTTTGTTCTTTGCTTTAAATCACCAAAGTATATTCAGTTTCGATCCTTCATTTCGTAGTTATTGCACAAACATGCGAGTGACATTTCTTTTTCTTTCCTCATCAAACTTGGCAAGAATTCTTTTGAGCATGTGCTTTTTCTTCTTCTTCTTTTTTTCTTTCTTTCTTTTTTCTAATCTCTTAAAAGCTGCTGGAGCTCCCAGAGGGTGTCTGAGGCTAACGTTCACGGGCGGTTCACTGTGGTAGCCGTTCACTTTTCGTTGAAGAAGCTGAGCAAAGGGGAAACATAGGATAAGCGTAAAACAAAACGACAGACTATTCCCATCCAATTAGCAGGCCCAAACTTAAATAAGGAAGTTAAACATTGACTATTATGATCCCAGTGATTGGATTATTAAGTTTGGGAGCTTAGGGACAGCAATCAGATACGGTGTACTTTTAATATTATGCGATCCTCTTAGTTTTTATTGAGTTTTATTTTGTGACGATGGATCAGAACAGTCTGCAAGTCTTCTGAATTTGTCCATCTTAGTGTGTCACACCTCTCACCCAGCCTGTAGTTTCAATGAAGAGAGGGATGCACGGGCGCTAGGGCCTGATGGAGAGCAATAAAGCAGTCCCACCCTGAGACATAGTCCTTTAGGCTTTTCAGGCTGTGAGTGTGTGTTCAGGTACCGTGAGCTTGAAATGCAGTTGCTGCTGACCACGGGTGCGCGTGTTTACAATGGCCGCCTTAACACCGTCTGTGTTTTTTGTGTGACATGTCGGCAGCGCCTCAGAGAATGACTGTTAGACTTACAGGAGCAATAAAAAAAAATAGGTGGCCAGCAGAGGGTGTGCAGGGCATTATTTTATTGTTTTGTGTTGATATTTTTCGCCCCGTGCTCAGTTTTCGGGGCCTCGCATGAAATTTTTGTTTTTATCGAAATTCATTCATTTATTTATTTATTCTGTTTGTCTGGATCTTTGGAGCAACTCAATGCTAACCCCCTCCTATTCACGCCATTTTTGCCGCTTATCAAAGTGCTTCGGATCACAGCCTGTAAGCCTGTAAACCGCCTCCTCTGACCAATGGGGTCGTGCCCCTATAGTGGCTATCCCTTCAGTACCAAGCCACACACAAGAATGTGAAACGCGAGAGGAAACAGCAACTGTATTTTAAGCCTCCATCTTGTTTTCTGTGTTGACAAAATGACATGCAGTTAAATCAGGGTTAAACTATATAAATATGTAAATATCTTACGACTGATAGTATTGATATGCATCCCAGGGTGTCGAACAGGACTACCTGCGATCTGCAAAGGTTTGTCACTGATCAAGCTGCAATTTAGACTAAGTTGTACTAAAAAAGAAGAGCTAAGGCTATTGGCTATTGATGAAAAGAAGCTCAAGTATTTCAGTCACCTCTTTTCTATGCAATTTTGAGCTTTTGCAGCTTGGGAATATAATAGAGCATAAAATACGTGCATCTTCTTGAATGAGTGTGTTTGCAGTGTGTTACAGAACTGTTTAGTTCTCCCAAGCTGCTTTGTACAGGAGTACTCTTAAGTTGTTTTTTCTAGATGAGCTGTGGGATATTTTGTAGACTTTAGATTTGTTTTGAAAGAAAAAAAAACACTAAGAGAAAGCTTTATGAGTATTTTCTGTGAGTTCATTAAAAGACATTCCACATAGGAATGTTAAATGTTCCTGTTTTCATCATTAATTCCTGCCAAAAAAAAAAAAAAATCATAATAATAAACCCCTCAAGAAAAGAACCTTAATCTGTTCTAGTACTCTGGGTTAAATATTTACTCTTGTACCAAGAAAATAATTGAGAGGGGTTCGACACATCTTTGATTGATTCAGCAGGACATTGCTTGCTAATAATTTGGATACATCCCCCACATAAAAGTACAGGTCAGAGTCAGAATAACAAAATAGTTGAAAGGAATAGTATTGTAGTGTTTATTTACGTGCTAGCTTTTTCTAGTACTGTTAGTTTTTCTAGGTCTCTGTAGGTTAACTACTACAAATACATAACGTTGCTCCATTCAAATGATTATTGAGCTGAGATCATGGATTGCATTTCTGAATACAGGTAGTGCCTCAATGAGCTTAAAGACTCACCCTGTTACTGACTAAGCATTAGCATTGAAGTGTTCAGAAGTCATGGCCTGACTGCACAAAATGCATTCATTTTGAATTAATGATGTGAATTTCCATCGATGTAAAACTTGACAATAACTGTGTTTTGTTTTTTGTTTTTTTGGGGGGGACGGTTGGGTTGCCTTAAACAATCAAAAACTGCCAGTTCTCCTCATTGGCACATTTCTTGTAAATTGCTGTTAACAATTTACTTAAAGTTTTTGGCAGCATGCATGTGCCAACAAGTCATAGATTTTCATAATAGTCATTAAATGTGGGTAAAAAAAAAACAACCCAGAATATATGACTGTTTTGCACAAAGATTTACAGAATGGAAAACTTTAACAAGTAACACGAATACCAATTTGGAAAAGCCTAAAAAAACGCACTTACTTGACTGGCCACATGGGGCTAGCCCCAAAGGATAGTCATCTGTGTTAAACCTCCACTGTTAACGGGACCATGTTTACAACCTGGTACAAAAGCTAGCTATTCAGCTCCATCACAACTGAGGTGGCTAAATGCTCATTTCTTGGCTTCGCATTACTGTTGGAGGCATTGGGAAATGTATGTGACTTATTTTTGGGTCAGTATAGTCTGGTAGCCCAGGGTTTGCTGTTTGGCACCCAGTCACTATTCGGTTAGGTTTAGGCAAACAATCTACTCTTTGATTTGAGTTTGGAAAAAATAACTATTCTGTTTAAATTTGATCAAAAGTTATGGAGAAATCAGGAGTGTGCTTTGCTCTAATGGCCTCATGATACTGTCTGGATTATTGTAATAACGTAATATTAGTATGTTATTAAGAATGAGCCCTTGCCACAAACATTCACTCCAAAACCAGTAAACACTTAAAGTCGGGACTCCATCTTGCTACGAATGCAATCACTAATCTCCATGGTCCAAAGGAAGACACGAGCTGACAAATGGCAACCAAGATGCTACGACAGACAAAATTGCACAGTTTCTATATTTGAAACCCCAGCAGCTTCTTTTTAAGAAGCTGTGATGAGCTTATTACCAGAGACTGCGCACATGCTGTTTGCAGATTGTGCCACCATGTATATCTGCCTCTGATCAAGCCAAAACGTCTGCACATCAAAGAAGCAGCTTAATCTATTCCTATAAAATCATCTGTTAGCTGCCGTGTGTATTTGTTTAAAACCAAAGACACATGCACCAAAGAGACCCCAAGGCATTGTTGACTATTTTATGATCCATTACAGAAATTGGAAGAGGATTCTTTAGAAAACACGTCATTTCGAACTTCGTGGAATATACTGTTGAAACAAGGTTCAATTTACTTCTTTCTTTTTCTGAAATGTTCTTTTATCACTTTGTTGTGTCTAGCTGTACTTAGTTTTTTTTTTTATATGTAGAAAAGAAAATTGCACAGATAGTTATGGTAGTGTGAGTAGAGATGAAAAAAAATCACAGGATGTGTCTTATAAAGCAAACATATCAACATGTTTATTTATTGAAACGATGAAAGAAGAATTCAACTTAACATAGACGAGGTGTGAATTTGATGTCCTGAATGGATTGAAGGACTGTGCGGCTCCTCCTGCTTTTACGCCCCGGATGGGAAAACGGGAGACTGGATGGCATAATCATGGCGCTTCCCCGCAACAGGCTCGCTCACTTTTTAACTGACGAAAACAAACAGGAAAAAGCAAATAACTCCTGCTGTAGACCCCGCTGTAACGTTGTAGTCTTTGAAAAGAGGCGCCTTCTGTCTGAGCATTTTGTTAAAGAACATGTTGATGTAAATTGTTCATTTACCTCAGATGTTTACAGAGCCGTCACTGAATAAACTTTTTGTACCATACTCCGTGCTAGTCCTCCAATCTAAAGCCATTTGTTTGTGACTGCATTTTTTTTTTTTTTTTTCATCAAACATTTTCAAACTTGCCCCCCCTTTTTGGACTCAAAACGAAACACATGAATTAACGAGTGAACATGAACATTTCCAGCACAGTGAGTGTTCCACATTTTACTGAGATGACCTGTATGCTTGGTGGACACTCTCTGTACTGTCTGCCCCCTATATGTACTGTGATGTGCTTGTGTTTGCATGCGTGGGAGTGTGTGTGTCCTCGTGGCTTTGACTATGAAGCTGTGCTGAGGCCAGCACTTCCTTTATGCTTGGTGAAAGTCCCAGGGATTTTGGCTTAACAAAAAACCTCTCCAGGGAGTAAAAAGGCCTTGAATGGCTGCTAATGCCATCCCGACCTCCGGATCCTTGCGGGCATGTGTGTGTCCCCATACTATAATATGCGCGCAGACTGTTTTGTTAAAATACTGTACGGTTTAATAATGACTGAGACAAAAATGTTTAAAAGACACTGATTGGTCCATGCCTTGATATGTGAACATTCGTATTATGATGGATCGATTTGAAAATTTGTTAAGATGAGAGAGTGGATGTTAAAAAAAGCAACAACGCATTATCTCAGGAATGCTAGAAAAAAAAAGTGAGCTGTGATGTTATAGTCTGTCACATTAATTTGTGATAAATACCTAAATATTTAGTACATTAAGAAACAGTAAGGGTGTAAGACCAAGTAAAAATATTATATTTCACACCATTAACATCAATCGGTGTAAAAAATTCTGAGTTTGTGCTCAATGCATATCCCAGAAAGGTTCTTTGAGAGGGAACGTGGGCTGAGGATCACATATTTACCAATGATTGTGTGAAAATATAACTTTTTTTAAATGCATCTCTACAAAACACTAAAGAAACAAAATGTCTGTGGATCAACATGGACTCTTCCCTTCTTCTACTTTAAGTGGTCATTAAGTTTCCATATTGTCTAACTATGGTGGATGTGACCACATTTAATCATTATATTTTAATCAAAACCAACAGAAGGGTCAGATTTCATCATAATAGGTGATGATACAGACTGCGACTGATAAGGAAGGAGCAAATTCTCCAGGGTAAAGGTTGTTTAGTTGTATGAATAAAGACAAAAACACTTACGCTCCATTTTGTTTGCTTTCCATTTTTTATTTGCCATGAAATTTTTTTTTTTCAGGAATTTACATTTTAGACGGTAACAATTCATCTCCCTTTGGTTCATTCATCATTAGTCATGAATTCCGAAATCATACTGGCAGTGTTTTCTCACTATTTGACTTTCCTTCTATGTTTGTTAGTTTTGGAAATTGTTGTGAAATGTTCTCTCTCCAATCTCTAATCCTCACATTCCAGTATTTCTGAGGTGATCTTAAGAGGCGTGACAGCAACCCTGCTGGTGACCAAATCCATGGCTGAAAAATATTTGTAATAGATTGAGCGCCTGAATAATTTGACTCCATCTCGATCACAAAAAGCAGCATCGATATCCTTCAGCGGGATGGGAAGTTGTTTGTTAACTTCCCTAGTTGCAGCAGTGAGGTCAACATCAAACATCCTCCCCCCTGTTTGAAGAAATTCGATTGAAGGTTTGTTCATCAGTCTTGAGCAAAGGGTAAGCTGATACTTTTCATGTTTCATACAAAGCAATGTATTCCTAACTGAAAACCAGGACAAAACAATTTACTTCAGGACAAAAATAAGAATTGAGAAGGTTTACCTCGAATGACATGAAGGATTTGTTCATCTGGACACATGAAAGCAGCATCCACGTGGCCCTGAAGGCCCAGCTCCTCCTTTACAGTTTTGGGATAGCCATCAACCGGAGCGTGGGGAGCTTCCACTTGGTAGGCATAAACCTGATCGCCCTACAAACATTTTGGAGAGTATAAAAGATTTCATTTTGATAGAACTTTGGTAACTTTTACCCAAAACTGTGAAACTCTGGGGATGACATCTACCGTACCTTGATCAGATAGATTTTGTCAGTGTGAGTGTAAGCAGCGTCCACCCGGTCGCCCAGATCCACCCATGCCCTGGTCACTGGAAGGGAGCGCAGGCCTTGGCTGGTGTCCAGACGCAGGAACACGGGACCTGGGCAGATTGAACAAGGCTTTTTGGGAAACCTTTGCAGTGTGTTCACATCAGTTCCCTCTTTCCTTCTTTTGATATTTCTATTAACTAACGAGTTTTTGGCAAGGAAGGTGGCTCACCGGCTTTGGTGCAGTCTATAGCTGGAGTTCCAGGAGGAATCTTGGTTCCTGGTCTTTCCCGTCCTCTACGGTCCACGCACCAACAATGTCCAGTAGAGGCGTGACACTGCCAGAGTATAGCAAATAGAACTTTTAGTCAAAGGAAAAAGATGCCTGAAATGAAAGTGCAATGAAAAACATGTTTACCTGCTTTGGGGTATACTCATCGTTCTCGTCACACTGTGGTACGTAGCCTCCGACCTGAGTTGCACCATCCTGGTCGCCACTTGCTGTGTCTCTGTGTCTCTTACAATGACCCTTTAGTTCATCTGGGGAGGTACAGTTTATAAAGCAGTGTAAGCTTTATGAGAAACTTTGGGGTGCAAGGTTTAATGCTGCGGCAACAATGATTTGCTTTCCTAAGATATGTGTTGCGGGCACGTGTATCTTTGCCGTCTCAGGCTGTTTGTAATTCCTTTCATCATCTCACCTTCTCTTTCAAATATTGTGCATTACTAACTAAGAATGTTCTGTATTTTTTCTACCTAGTTTGTCACAGTCTACAGATGGTTTCCCAGGTGGAGTTTTGGTGCCTGGAATTTCTTTCCCATCACGACCCACGCACCAACAATATCCAGTGGAGCCATGACACTGTGGAAATAGTTGTGCATTTTCAGCTTGACTGCTTAGAAACAGGACACACAGGGATTTGAATGAAAAGAGAATTCTTACCTGCTTTGGCAGATAATGGCCTTCTTCATGACACTGTGGTACATAAGCTCCAACCACAGGAGCTCCATCATCGCTCACAGTCTTTACCCCGTCTCTGTGGTGGTGACACACACGCCCATCTGGGAAAGAATGGGAAAGTTTTTTGTTTTTTTGGGGGTATTTAGAAAACGACTTTGGTCAGCAGATATGGGAGCTGGACTAGAATTTTTAAAAAGAAAAAAGGACTCGAGCTGTACATTTTTTAAAGAAATCTTGTAAACACGGGCAAGAAGCTTAAATATAAACAGTAGTTCTTAGAATTAGCCTTCACATAGAAGGGTGAATTGATTTACTTCACCATTTCTTTGCCGTGTGTTATAAGTTTGACCCATAATTACCTGCCAGTAAATCTGAATAAAGAGTTAGGGCTAGGATGGATTGGTGTCCACTCTTAGGTTAGATTTAGATTTGTGATGCATTGATATTTCTCGTCAAATTGTTTGGAGCCTCACCTTGTTTGCTGCAGTCTACGGCCGGTGCACCTGGTAAAGTCCTGGTGCCTTCTTTTTCCTGTCCCAAATGGTCCACGCACCAACAATTTCCGGTGGAGCCATGGCACTACAACAATGAATAGAGGTTGATGTTGCCATAATGGAAAAAAAAAAAAAAACATACATAAAGAAGCAATAAGTAAAAGCGGTAGATGTGTCTTAAATACTGCTAACCTGCTTTTGCTGATACTGTCCATTTTCATCACACTGTGGGATGTAGGATCCGGGTGCAGGTGCTCCACCTGGAGCAGTGCCCTCGAGACTGTTTCTGTGTCGCTCACAGTGACGGTCATCTGGGAAAGAATGAGAAGCACCTTTACAGAATTCATACAGAGTGCACTTCTTTTTTCCTATCCGCACTTTTATTCAAACTGTTTGGCTCTTTTTACTGAGAGTGTTATCATCGTTGCCATTCTTTACGCTTTATTGAGAAGCTGCGAGATGGTTGCACCAATGCCCGAACTCTAATGTCTATCCTCCATGTGTTCTTTCACATGGTATACAGAAGTGACATGCATTTATATTTCATGTCTTGTCAACAAGGTTGGAGCCTCACCCAGTTTGCTGCAGTCTACAGAGTCTTTACCAGGTCCGGTTCTGGTTCCAGGTATTTCACGTCCCTGAGTGTCCACACACCAAGAATTTCCAGTGGAGCCATGGAACTGAGACAGTAATAGAAAAGTCACAGTGATCAAAAATGACAACAGTGATAAAAACATAAAGACATTTAGTAACAAAAGTTTAAACAGATGCAGACCTGCTTTTGTTTATACTGTCCGTCGTCTTCACACTGTGGTACAAAGGCTCCAATTAAGTTACCTCTAGCCTGTACCTTGCCCCGGTGGAAGTGGCAGTGAGACCGGTTGCCCTGGGCGTTCCCTAAGGATTTTATAATTTGGCTTTAATGATAAAACAATAAAAATAGTATGAACTGCTATTTCAGAGAAGACATATCACTGATGCTGATTGGAGCAAATTGCATCGTGTTTCAAGCATTTCAAACTATCAGATCTTAACCATATTTTAGGAGCAATCTAATCTTACTTTTAAATGAATATGCACATGATCTAAAAAAAATGCCACTTAAATTACCTGCAAAGATATACATTCTGCCAGAATTGTCTGCAGTGATGGCAGACAATTCAACCTCACTGCATTTAGGTGGTTCGGCAATTCCCTGACCTGCAACTGAAACACATGAAATTGCAAAAGCATGAGGAGGTATTGAAGATATCTGCTTATGTCTTATACAGAATGTCATTTATACTTCAAAAAATGTTTTTTTCATTTTTTGGTCAAAAAGACCATTTACCTGTTGCAGATGAATCAGGCCTGCAAAAAACAGAAGAAAAAGTTATTTGTTTGTGTTGAACCCCAGCAGGGCTATCCAGAATGGTCTGCATTAAGATTCAAACAAATAAGAGGAGTTTGTTAATACTCACTGTGGTGCTGCTGTTGAGAGGGCAAGCACAATGGACAGACACAGAGTTCTGGGGAGCAGCGCCATCTTTGTCCTCTGTGAGGTTCACACTGGACCAGACAGCTGCAGGCGCAGAGGTTGCACTTTTATTCTGAAGTTCTTGTGCAAGAGTATGTGTGTCCATGTGTCTGTTTGCACAAACAAAGTCTAAAGTTATGTTTGTTAGAACTGAAGTCCCTGCCACCAGTTACCAGCAGGCATTGATTTTTGCTTATCTTGTGCTTCTTTTTTTATATAATTATAACGGATCCTATGTAAAAACAGATTGCGGTTACCTCTGATGGTGGAAGTCATCTATTTTTTCGGTTAATGTTTTACAAACAGTGTTTGCTTCTTGGTCAGAAAGAGGCCACAGATAGCCTTATCCTATGCTTTTCTTATCTTCTTTTGGTTTCTGGATTTACTGACCATTGTATAACTTTGGAGGGAAATTACTGTGCCAAAAAGCTATGTTGCTGTTTTCAGGTACAGATAAAAAAGAGCTCAAGAAGCAGCAGTTTTGTGCAAAATTGTAGTGGCATGAAAAAGGTCATGTTTTTTTACTGAGAAAAAGCAAGAGCAAACACACACATCTCATACATATGCTGAGGGTTGGCCATACAGTCCCGAATCAGTGAATCTGGTACAAACTGCAAAAAAGAAACCCCTAGTTATGTGGGAAGAGTTCTGAGACAAAAGTTTCCTGACAGTGGGAAATGTCATCTTGGAGGTCCTTGGACTGAGACCGGTGAATAAAAATCTTAATCTTACATGATGGGGTTTTGTCATAGTGTCTATTCAAGTTTAGTCTTAGCATGTGTCCCAGCACATCCTGCTGGCTGAGGATGATTTGCAGCCATTTTTCTGATAATCTAAATGCACTCTGTTCTGCACTCCATGTCTCTGTAAAATTTAGTAAAATGCAGCTTCAAGTTAAAGCAATCTTTTATACATTTAAAGCCTCCAATATGTGTACCCCGAATATACAGATTTGTGTTATTGGTTCATGCTGTTTCGTTTGATTGGTTGCTGTGTATGTCAATCAGCGTCACCTGTAATTGGGCATAGGTAAGGGAGTGAGTGAAAAAGGGGCGGGGGAAAAAAGAGCGACAAGGGAAGAGACTAGAGAGTGATGAAAAGGAGACATGCGGAGCTAAAGTGAAGTTAAGAAGTAATGACGTTTTGGTAGATAACTTGTTGAATGTTTAAGTAACGTAAGAAGCTGTAGTTGAGGGCAGTAACGTGCATTTCCTTTTCTCTTCACAGTGGATAACAGCGTTTGAGTATTGCAAGAGTGACTGTGCTAACTAAGCTAAAGCTAGCGAGCCGCCAGTCAAGAGGACGCCATTGCTGAATGGGAAGGACGGTTTCGCGCTTCCTGAAGAGGACTTTACTTCTGCTTCCGGTCACGTTCATCTTCATCTCTTCACGAACTGTTTCACCAGGACTTATTCCAGACCGTGAGTTGGATTTTCTATGGGACTGTCAAGTGGCATTTAGGATAAGGATTTGCTTGCCGCACCGCACCTGGAGCACACAACTTTTATTGTTTTTGTGTGTGTGTGTGAGAGAGTGTGTGTGTGGGCCCACTGTTTTGTTAGAGTTCAGTTAAATAGTTTATTTGATATGAGTCTGATAAGTACAGAGAAATCCTACTAAAGTGTTAAGCACCAGGTATTTCAGAGACCTGAGATAATTTATGTTTTGAATGCTATTTTGATATGGTCGGTTCTATTTTTCTTATTACAAGTGTGACTTTCTACAGTGTTTTGCCAAATTTGGTAATTGTTATTGTTGTTTGTTAACTAAAAACATTAATGTTTTGTGTTAAACTGAAAACACAGCTGTGTAGTAAAACCTTATTTTATTTTTTTTAAGAGTTGTCTGGGGTCCGTTTAAAATAGTGTAGTGAATAGAGCCACTGCTTAGTCTCACAGTGTTGTGTTTATTCATCAGGTAGTAGGCTATACAACGTTCCACATAAAACAGGTAAACCTTTGTGGTAGCTACATTAATATATCGAACCCAAACACCCCATCACTCAAGTCCAAGGTGAGTTCCTTTTACTTAGGCATATACTGAGTTTTGGGGTGCTACATATGGTTTTGGATGTTACTTTTGGAAACGCACTAAAACACCTTGATCACTGAGTGGATCAAGAAAATGGGGTTATTTGGCTGCTAAAGGTATCTCCTATCAAACGGAGACGTAAAGACGTTGACTCCGCTGATCCACTTGATTGAAGTTTTATCTTCCAAACAATGACTGACACAATGATCATTGACAACTCCAAAAGATCCTAGCTGGTATAAGATGACAACCCTTCACATTTAGCTTCAATTTAAATGATATGTTCTTCACTTTTAGCTGGCCGTTATCAGCGCCAGCTTAAGTGATGGCAGTTTCACCCCGTAGGTATTATCTGTCCATGGACCCATTGTTTAAGTAATCTCCTCTTTGAGCCTACTGAAATAAAAAGCACTCCCCTCTTAGTTCCCTATATTAGAGCTATAGGTATCTCATTTTACATCCGCGTGTTTGTGCATTTCCTACCCGGGGTGTGACAACACCGGGGGCTCCATTGTGAAGGGGTTTTATGACCGTTGTCTGGGCCACTGTTTTAACCTCTACAAAAAGCTGTTTATGGATAGAAATAAAGACATAAATTACTTTTGTTTTGTTATTTTAAGGGGGGGAAATTGAAACAGAAAAAAATGACTTTTGCAGACTAGAAAGCAAAAGAAAAATTATTTAAGTTTGTTTTTTTTATTCCAGATATTTATCCGGAGGCACTGCGATGGACTGGCGGACGTTCCACGGTGTACCCTGCCTCTCGCCCGTTGACCACTGGGATAGGCTCCAGTTCCCCCCGCGACCCCATCAGGGAACAAGCGGTATTGATGATGGATGGATGGATGGATGGATGGATGTTTATCAGGAATTTGGACTTCCCCTGTTCTTCATCTCATAAAACCAAAACATTGGTTCACCATTTTTTCCCCCACCCCGTCTCCATTTGAGTTCACAATTGCCCCATGGTAGATCACAACTTTACAATTTCAAAATTCACAAGTTTCCAAAATGATAACACAACAGTTTGCTACATGTATTTGTCTTTACTTTAATGTTTTAAAAAATTAAAGATTAAAATCAGGGATTGGATTATAATGACTAGGTTCAGGATGCAATGAAATGCACTGTCTTTTGATCACAAGGTAAAATTCCAAATCAGTCTTTTAGTGAGTTCACCTCACTGTACTTGACCTTAACATCCTTAAAAGTGTCATTAAGACTGCAGCTGCTGCACTTAAACAATTAATTGCTGGTTATGTTTAAGACTTTATTTTGTACAGTGGGTCCTCTAGTGGCTAAACTCCGATGTGAACCTTAAAAACCTATTCAGTTGAGGATAAATAAAGCAGCTCCAAACTTCACCACACAGTTTTAATTGAAACAAATTTGAAGGGCAAACTTTGCACGGTAGAGAACATAATCAGTTGTCATCGCTTGGCTTTGTCAGGGGTCGCAATGTACGTGGTAACTTCACTGTATGGAAGACACGGGGGTTCCTTTCTTGCATTTAATTTTTATTTTTGCTTGATGAATTTAGTCTCTTTTGGCTCTTAATCTTCACATCCCATCATTTCTGCGCTGATCTTCTGAAGTTGAACGGCAATCCTGCCCATGGCCAGTATCATAGGGCTGTCGTATTGGTAATACTGTGGGCCCTTGAACAGTTTAATTCCTTCTGAGCCGCATAGACCAGCATCAATGCCAGAAACGGGCAAGGGCACTTCTTGGGTTACAACCCTGGGTGTGGCGGTGAGGTCGACGGAACGCATCTGGTTTCCTGTTGGAAGAAATTTAAGTTAAGAGGCTTTTTTTTATCACTTGTGTGAAGACGCTGAAATTATACTCTTTTTGTTGCATATCCACCATGGTCTTCAACATTTCCTGAGTTCAAAAGCTTACCTTGAATAACACGAACAGTGTGCTCATTTGGACACACAAAAGCAGCATCCACCTTTCCCTGAAAGCCCAGTTCCTCTTCCACCGTTTTAGGGTAGCCTTCAATCAGGGTGAAGTGAGCACCTGCCTTATAGATGTAAACCTGATTTTCCTGCACATATTTAGTAGAATAAAGAATATTTTCACCGTTTTTTTCTGTCTTTTGTTCCAAATAATTTTCTTTTTCTTTTCTATTTTTCCTTTGAGTTTTACCTTAATCATGTAGATTTTGTCAGTGTAGGAGAAAACGGCGTCCACGCCATTTGTCACTTCTTTCCACGTCCTGGTTATTGGAAAGGCGTGCAGGCCGTCGCGGCGAGTGTCCAGACGCATGTAGATGGGACCTGATAAAGTCAAACACCGTATCAGATGGTTGAGACCGTTTGCTATGCGTGGGGTGTCAGGCTGGCACTTGTTAAAAATCTCTAAACTGACAAAGTTCTGCTTATATTTGGTTACAATCTGACATGTTAAACATAATAAACGGGGATATGTATGGAAGGGCGATATTTTCCAAATCAGATGTGTTGTTTTTCCATGTCTGTCATTACCTGCAAAGAAATAAGTTCGGCCTCCATCGTCTGTGGTGATGGCGTCTAGTTTCACATCGCTGCATTTGCGGCCTTTATAATCGCCTCCGTGACCTGCAGTCAAACACAGCAAATATCAATCTGTCAGGTTCATAGCAATCCTAATGGAATACTTTGATACAGTTGAGGGTTGGTGTTTTTTTCTTTTTTTTTTTAGATCTCACCAAAGTTCGGGCAGCGCATGAAGTAACTGCGTGCATCCTTGGGGTAGGAGCCGTTCACCTCTCCTGATACAGGGTTGAATCTGGTGAATTGGTGTCCATGGAAACAGTAGTAGTGCTCCAGCCAGCGGAAAACGGAAGTGCAGGCAGGGAGCTGGGCCCATGTCTTGGTCTTCACTGATTTTGTGGCAATATCATAAACATGCACATCTTGTCCTAAAGGGGGAATGCATCTGGTTGAAAAGAAGGCTTAAAGATCCAATAATGTACTTAGATTATTATTATTATTAGATCAAAATCATTACTAATTCAAATGACATCCTCTGTTCATTTGAGTATTTTAGTTAATCTGATCTGTTGCGTATTCATATCCCTAATTACACGATTAACACAACAGGTTAAAACTAGCTAATTGTTTTCAGTTAAATTTTATGCTGTAAAAATACAGGAAAATCAACTGTTCTCTTTCCCATAATATGGCCACTGTTTCTTCATAATATTGCCAACTGTTGTTTTTTTTTTTTTAGAAAATGTATTTCATTAACGGATGATCCAAAGGTATGAATGAATTTTTACAGTGAATGCCAGCATACCTTTAAAGAACAGAACAGAATCTGTCATGCATTCGCCTTTGGGACACTCCACAGCCGCATCCAGGTGAGTCGGGACTCCAGCGAAATCCTCTTGAATCCCTTTTGGATAACCTTCCTCCAGAGTTTGGTTAAAGTAACTGTATACCTTGTCATCCTGGGGGTGACATCGAGAACAATATGGAACGACCGAACCAAGATTTGAAAGCATAACAGAAGGTGTTTGTGAATCATACCACAAAAAGGTAGACGTGATCATGGTCATCCGGGTTATCTGTGCTGTGCATCCGGAAACCAGCGTCAACTTGACCAATCAGATTCTTAAAGTACTCATTGGAGAGCTGAGCTGGACCGTTGAAGCCCTTCCACAGATAATTACCTATGAAGAAAACATCAGTAGATTGCTTTTGAATTAGGGATTTAAATTCAGAGTATCGAAAACATAAAAAAGGTAGGCTAATGCTAATACTTATGCAGGATAAGATACGAGTTTTACCATACCTTTGAAGAAAAAAGTGTTTCCTTTGTCATCTGGAGCGATGGCATCAAACTCAATACCAGAACATCGGTCTGGCAGACCATCTGTTGTCCCCGGAAATAAATAAAACATTTATTACTATTTAAAAAAGTGGCGTTTTGCAACATTATAAATGCTTAGATATAAGTGATTAAAGGAATGGTGTACATTATTACAAATGTGTTGATTTAACCACAAAACCTTTCATAGCATACTCACCATCCGTTGCTGAGTCCTGCCTATGGTTGAAAGAAAAATTTAAATGGTTATATGTGCTTTATTTTTCTTCACATTTTTGTATAGTCACTGGTAAATCAATGACACAGCACTAAGATCAAACATTCTTGAGTTTATTTAATCGATCCAAAGTGACCTTTGTGAAAAAAGCAAACAGATTTCCGATTTGATTCACGTGTTGTTCACGTTCTGTACTTTTCATGGGGTTCTGGTCCAACTCGGAACAAAAAACTAAGAATAGTAAGAAATGGCTAAAGCTGTTGTAGTGGATAAAATTATGTGAAAATAATGTTTGGAGCTCTGTGAAATGAATAGCAGAACCAAATCTCCTGTTATTTATGGTTTTGAAGTTCATACAGATAAGTGAAGTCAATTATACTATCTATTTCATTTATACTTACAGTGGTGCTGCCCTTGTGAGGGCAAAAGCTAAGCACAGAAGCAGAGTTCTGGTGTTCAGGTCCATGTTTGTCCCGGGGTGAAGTCCTCTGATGTGAAGTTTCACACTGTAGCAGAGCTGTAAAGTGTGGCTTTGCAGGGGCTGAAGCTACAGCTTTATAACTAAATCTATGCGTGCGTGTGTATGCTCGTGTGCGTGTGTGTATGTTTGCTGATACGCATGTCCATGAGTTTGTTTCACAAGCCAAATTGGAAATTTGGCTATTTCAAAATAAAGTTTTACACAATAATTCATCATGAGGCAAGTCATCCTAACTCATCCTAATGTTTAGTACAGGTGTCACACATTCATGATAAGTGTGTTCATCATTTATGACGAAAAAACGGTAGCCTTATGTTCCCTTTTGTGTTCAAAAGAACATCAGAATTGATCTGTCCAGTTAATATTATACCGAGTGTTTGTCTCTGACAAATCCTTGTTGGTAAAATCGAGACCCCTGTGCTCCCTTTGTTTGTTTGTTTCAGAGACTTTTCCCGAATTACTGACATTTTACCAAAAACTAAAGAACTTTTTGAGTGGATGGACAAACTTTCAGAGACAACAAAACTGTGCAGAAAATTGGATCTAAATGAATATTTAATGCATTTAATTCAGAATAGAAACACTTACAAAGCATATTTGTGCTACACAGTTTGACCTTATGAATATTTAGAGAGCTAAAATCATGAATATGATTTCCTGCAATGAACATGATAAACAAAAACCTGAAATCTCATCAAAGCTACCATCATTGAGGGCCTTCGTACTGTACTCCATAAGAAGCATGTTATAGTACTTCTAGTTACATGAATGTTTTAAAAGCTGTTTTACACATTCTGGCCAGAGATCTTCGGGAGAAAGTACAGCCTATTTGCGCTAGAATTTTTTGCATTGTTGTTGGTTGTATAAGTATATCACAGCAGGGTTCTTACCAGCTACAAAAAATAGATAATCATGCCAAAACTATCAAACTGATTGATGTAATCTTCTACATTACTGATAACATAATTACAAAATCATGATGATTTCACTCATTTTGTGATCCATGCATGGTCATATCAAATTGAAAGTTACAAGGTAGGGGATAATATGCAGTTTTAACCTTCTCAAATGAAAAATAGCCATCGCTTTTCTCCATATTCACCATCATTGGACCTTCATTTGTAGCGATAGATCTTGATGCAATGATTCATGCTGTCTGATACAACTACATGACCATCAGGTACAAGTGCCAGACCCCGTGGACTACTTAGGTTGTCAGTCACCAGAGGCCAACCAGTGCCTTTTGATGAATAGATAAGCACACTGTGCTTTTGCTTCCCCCAATCTGCAACTAACACATCCCCATCGCTGTCAATACATAGGCCCCAGGGGCAGGTTAAGACAGGCCCTAGGCCAGAACACACTCCCAGAATTCGGATTGTGCTCCAGCCAGGTTCCAGGACTCGAATGCATGGAACACGTCCGGAATCACTGCCTCGTTCCGATACAGCCATGAGCCCAGTGGTGAGACAGGCTGCCACCAAATAGGGTCTGTGGTATCCTGTAACCACTGTGCGCTCCAGCCTGGTTCCAGTTTTTGGGTCAAGTTTTAGGACAGTCAAGGTTCCACGTTTGATGTCAGCAACCAAGAACTCATCCTGATGTGTAACAGTCACTCCTCTCGGGGCATCCAGCTCTTCATTGGTGGAGCCAATCATTGTGCCTCCAAATGTTTGCAGAAGTCGCCCATGACGACTAAACACCAACAGAGCTCGTTCTGCTGCGCAGGTCAAGGCGATAAGGCCTTTTGAGTTCACAGCCACATCGAAGTAGTTGCAGATACGGGATGACCGATCTGATCCTGAAGGGGAAACTTGTTGTACAACATTCTTCTGGAGATCTGTCACTTGGATTCGGGCATTTCCACAATCCACCACAAACAACTGCCCTCTAATAGTTGCATGCACACCACTTGGCAGGTTGAAGTCAGTACGGCCTGATCCTTGTTTCCCAAACTGTTTAACCAGACAAGCTGACCGAAGCGCAGTTGATCCACCCTCTTCCGTCAAGTCCCTCATTGCTGATCCATCAGTCTCGTTCTTGTCTTGATTGCATCGCTGTGATCCTGTGCCTTGATGTAATTTGTCACCTTCAATGGCTGACAATGACAAGGACCGGCTGACAGGGGCTACACTTAAACTTTGGCTTGTACGAGTTAGGGATCTTGATTGTCTTTCATTAAAATATTTGGGATTCTTGTCAAGTTCTATACTGTTTTTTCTTTGGTCTTGCTGAGACATTGAGGGTTCAGAAGCAAGACGCATTCTGTTCACCCTTCTGATTTGTCTGTGTTCCGTCTTGTCACTATTAATTACTGCGCGTAGCTTACTGGAGAGGTCAGCAGTAGAAACTGAATGGCAGTTATCTTGTTTTAGAGTCACTTTGACTGGGGTGTTCACAGTATAGGTATAGCAGGTATCCTCGCTGTCAAGTGAAGATGAAGCACTTCCATCATCTACTGACGAGCCTTTTGAGATCTTTATCTTCGTAGATTCTGGGGAAAGATTAATATACCTTGGTGAAAGATCTCGCCCGGAAAACGAACCTTTGTATTTAGAACTTGGAGATACTGTTGTAGTTTCTTCAAGAGGGCAGGATGGCTCTTCACGTGATACCAAGATAAGGGAATTTTGCCTCCTTTTACCTTTCAGTGTGTTGTGCCTCTTACGTCCATCATGTCTGTCATCACAGTCATCACCCTCTGATTCTCCTTGGCTCGAGACTGGTGGAATAGCAAGGAAAAGGTCTTGTCCTTGTGTGTCTGAACATACAGATTCCCCATCTTCATCATGTGAAGACTCAGATATCCCACGATGTCTTTGTATGGGAGATGGTGGTTTAATCTCTTCCTCAGTTTCTGTGGAGCTTGCTAGGTGTAGTTTTCGGACAAGCCGCACATTTCCGCTGTTCGCCTTATTGGTTTCCGCTGAAGTGCACTTTTGCCCATATCTGCTTGGTTGAGGTTCCTTTATGATTTCGAAAGGGGTTATGTTTGAAAATGTTTTTTCGCCTGAGTGCAGGGCACACTTCTGTCCCTGGACACCACAGACACCAATTGGATATGTTTTACCTTGCTCACGGACTCTAACTTCCCCAAAACTGAAGTTCTTGGACTGGTTACCTGGTAAGAAGCTGACCCTTTTCAGTGTTAGAGAAATTTCCCATGGTTCCGTGACCTCTGCCACGCCTCGTTGAAGCTGATTTTTGTTGGATTCACTAGCAATACTTCCCAGTCTTTGAACTTGTTCCTTTAGTTGCCCAATTTTTCTAAGTTGCTGATCAACGAGTGACTGCATAACTCTCACAGTGGCAGCATTCTCCCTCTTTACTTGACTCAGGCATCGTTGGGCTTCCCTATGGTCCTGCTCAACCTTTTCTAGAAGGCGCCGTTCCTCTCGCTGAGCTTCAATTGCAGCGTTGTCTAGTTCCCGGTTCACCTCCTCCACTTCAGCTTGCTGCTGCTCCCTTAGGCTCAGAAGTTCTTGTTCTCCTTTGTCCAAGTTTGAAAGCGCCTGTGTGACCCATGGTGGTGGTGACGTTACAAGTGGTTGGGTGTAAGTGGGTGTAAAGATGGACTCCCTTCGACTGAAAGTTAGAGGAGGGGAAAAAGTCACATCTCTTTTTGGTGGACTGGGAGTCAGCAAGGCTGAGAACCCAGGGAGGGCTCTTCTTTCTGAGAGAGACCTCAGCAGCATTATGAATGGTAAAGTGTGAAATGGTCCGCTAAATGAGGGTTCTGCTTCTTCTTTTTCTTTGTTTCTGCATGTCAAAAAAGTAGAAACACAATTGAGATTTCGTTCATCATTCCTCCAGATATGGAAATTATTGCCAATGAATGCAGTGAAAAGTAGTATCTACATACAGTAAATATATTATAGATATAGATATATATATATATATATATATATATATATATAT